AATTGACTTGAATAAATACTACGATACCATATTTCTGAATATTTTCATTAAAATCCATCAAAATCATTTTCCTTGTCATCGTCTGCAGCACCAAACAGCTTCTCCCAGTCTCTCTTTGAACAGGGCTAGAGGGTACGTATTTTTCGAATCGTTTTCAGTTAAAAAACTATTACATCACTCGTCTATTTTACCTAAACTGCGCCTGAATGAATATATTCTCGGAGATAAATAGTAGTTTTGTGGAAACGTGACGTATTTCAATGTAAAATAGGATAAAATACATGACGAAAACAAAAGACTTTACCTAAGCTTCCGATGTTCTTGAGATGTTACTCGTTTTTTTTAATAGTTTTCGGTTAAAATTCTGATATATTACAATGATATTCTATTCATACTGTGCTTGATATAATACATTCACGGAAATGTAATATTTTTCCTGAAATTACATACGTATTACAGTGGAAAGTGGGATAAAATCATGACGAAAACAATGACTTTCGCTTTCTTTCGTTCAAAAGATGTTACCGTAATCGCTTTTCGAATGGTTTAGTTTAAAAACTGTTGTATTTCAATAATATTCCCTCCTAACTGACTTGAATAAATACTTGAATGGAAATATACAATATTTTTGTTGAAACTACCCGGGTTTCAGCGTAAAGTGTCGTAATAATAAATGGTAAACAATTTGCCTTCAGCACTTGTGTTTCATGCACGGCGAGCCTCAGTTTATAGGACGTAGAGCGTTTTTAGTGGTTTTGTTGTTCCATTACCCTCAAAAACGTGGGTGGAACTATAAACGAGGAATATCATAAATTAACGATTTCTTGGTAAAAAAATCAGGGTCGACTGATAACGAGGGGGGGTTATAGACGAGTATATACGGTATGTTGTCACAGTTTGATTGCCCATTTTAAAGTGGCGACCACGTGGTCGCTTGTTGTCGCTGTGCAGCTGTGGCGCTCACGCATGCGCACATGCACACAAATGCCCGCTAAAAAAAAAATAGTTTTTGAAAAGTCCGGATTTTCGGGTGGTCCGGATTTCTGGCATCCGGATTTTTGGACTTTTACTGTATATTTTGCATTAGACATAAAATTTTTAGATATGATGTTTACTCTGAGTAAATATGTTATCTTTTGTGCAAAATATATGACATTTATATTCAAAATATTCCTGGTCTTGCAAGGAATCCAGCAATGTCAATTATATTACCCTAACTTTAATCTGAGGTAATATTTAATACTAAATGTTAAAATCTAGTTTTTTCACCCACCCTTTCTCTTGAAGGGAGGGTTGGTGGGAGGTGGGGGGGAGGGTTGGGACGGACTGACCATCTGGCTCTGTTGGAAGAGGGGGGCAAGACAAGGTGGGGTACTTTGATTGACAGATAGTGTCGTGAAGAATATATTTTTTTTTTATTAACTGAAGATATTTGTTTTAGCTCATAAAATTCATACAAATTACCCGGCCAGAATATAATTTACATTGCTGGAATTCTTACAATTTGATGATCATTTTGAATATAAACATAGATTTTGCATTAGACATACAAATTTTAGATGTAATGTTTACTCTGAGTAAATATGTTATCTTTTGTGAAAAATATATGAGATTTATATTCAAAATATTCCTGGTCTTACAAGGAATCCAGCAATGTCAATTATATTATCCTAACTTTAGTTTGAGGAATTATTTATTACTATACCTGGTTTTCCCCCCAAAATTTCTCAGAGGGAAGAGCCAGGGAGTGTAGTGTGAGAAGAGGGGGAGGGAGTCAGTCCATTATTTGAATGGACATTAACTTGGCAACTGTATTTCTCTATTTCTCTTAAGTATTAATTGTGTGCATGTACCATCATAAAATTAAGATGTTATTTTTACTAGAACATAGGTATTGTGTCGGAAAAAGTGGAGTTTGGGGGTCAGCTGGTCTCTATTTCATTTAATCCCATATGTTATGTTATTCACTTTACGCGTTTCTCACTTTCCGCGGTACCCTGTGGGTTACATTAACCACGTAAAGTGAGGGTTGACTGTATATCCGTGTATAGCACGAGTTCTTAAGACCAAATTTTTTGGCAAAAAGTTGGGGGTGACCTCTATACGGGTAATAGTTTCGTTAGGTTGAAAAATATTTACCAGTAACTACCAGTAAACAATGGAAACGACGCACCAACGCACCACCCGCTGTGAGTGTCGGTACAGTTGCCAGGGCAGATCTCTTGCGTCATCATAGCAAGCCCAAAGTAGCCAAATGCATGGTATGGTATGCACAGGAGTATGTAAAACATAAAGTATTCTTTTTTAAAATTTTATTTATATACATAAATTTTTGTTAATTAAATTTGAAACATCAATCTTTGTTAATTAAATTTGAAAAAAAAAAAAAAATAGGATACCTTATTTATAAATATTTTCATTAAAATATTACATCACAAGTATATTTTACCTTAACTGTGCCTGAATGAATATATTCTCAGAAATAAATATGGAAATGTAATATTTTTGCTGAAATGACGTACGTATTACAGTGGAAAGTGGGATAAAATTGTGACGAAAACAATGACTCACTTTCTTTGGTCGTTCAAAAGATTTTACCGTAATCGCTTTTCGAATGGTTTTCAGTTAAAAAACTGTTGTATTACAATAATATTCTATCCTAATTGATTTGAATAAATACTACGATACCATATTTCTGAAAAGTTTCATTAAAATCCCTCAAAATCATTTTCCTTATCATCTGCAGCACCAAACAGCTCCTCCCAGTCCTCTCCATGAACAGCATCGTCATATGGATCAACACCATCATCAGCCATAGGATCATCAATATCTTCATCCTCATTCACGCTCTCATTAGCCTCATAATCCCACAACAAGTCGTCTTCTGTTCCATCAAGAGCATTCGAAATCCCACATTTCTTAAAAGATTTCACCACAATTTCTGGTCTGATTGCATCCCAGGCCTCTACAATCCATTCACAGAATGTTGCTAGTGATGGAGCTTGGATGTTGCTTCCCTTTGTGTATGTCTTATCGCCTTCTATCATCCAGTTGTTCCACTTCACTTTTACCGCATCTTTAAATGGTTTGTTTATGGAAACATCCAGTGGTTGGACAAGACTTGTTTATCCACCAGGAATCACAGCTGTATCAGTGTTTTCCTTCCTAATCCCAGCAGTAACACTGTCAACAAGATGTGACCGAAACATATCCCACACAAAAAGACTTTTTTCTTTGCGCAGTCCCCCTGGTCTAAAGTTCCAGACTTTTTTAAGCCATATTTGTATGCCGCCTTCATCCATCCATCCTTTCTCGTGCACATGGATGATTAAAAAAATGCTGTCTGACTTGCAACACTGTTGGTAGGGTCAGGTGGTTCTAACGGCACCTGCCAGGACCCGGTTATCAAATTTATAACAGTGTCTAACCTCAATTACTGTAGTTTATCTGATGTAGGCAATATGAAGTAAAAAATACCAGTTAAAGTGAGAAATTGGAAGAGAATAAACAAGAAAGATGTCGTTGGGCTATTTTTGGTAGGGCTGAGGGAGAGAGTACCAGCTGTTTGGTCTTTTTTGGCGGGAGAGTCACCAAATAACCGTAGTACTGTACTGGCATTTGTTTGGTGTCTTCTGTATTTTTAAAAATAAATACTTGTAAATTAAAAGTACCGTAACATTGTATTATATACAAACTTGTCATATTTCTGGAAAATAAGAAGCAAGAAAATAAGAATATACCGGTAAACACAATTTCAACGTACGCTAAAATTAAAGGCTGCTTAAGAAGGGCCGATGCAAACACACAGCCTCCGCGACCAGGGCTCTGCCGTATCAGCTAGACGGTACACGTGTTTTTCGAATCGTTTTCAGTTAAAAAACTGTTACATCACAAATGAATTAGGATAGAATATTATTGTAATACAACAGTTTTTAACTGAAAACCATTCGAAAAGCGATTACGGTAACATCTTTTCAACGAAAGAAAGCGAAAGTCATTGTTTTTGTCACGATTTTATCCCACTTTCCACTATAATACGTACGTCATTTCAGCAAAAATATTACATTTCCATATTCTCAGAAATAAATATTAGTTTTGCCGAAATGTGATGTATTTCAATGTAAATTAGGATAAACTACATGATGAAAACAAACGACTTTACCAAACCTTCCCATGTTCAAGAGATGTTACTCGTTTTTTTAATAGTTTTCGGTTAAAATACTGTTATATTAGTGATATTCTATTTATACTGTGGTTGATATAATACATTCACGGAAATGTAATATTTTTTGCTGAAATGACGTACGTATTACAGTGGAAAGTGGGATAAAATTGTGACGAAAACAATGACTTTTGCTTTCTTTCGTTCAAAATATGTTACCGTAATCGCTTTTCGAATGGTTTTCAGTTAAAAAACTATTGTATTACAATAATATTCCCTCCTAATTGACTTGAATAAATACTTGAATGGAAATGTACAATATTTTTGTTGAAACTACCCGCGTTTCAGTGTAAAGTGTCGTAATAATAAATGGTAAACAAGTTTATAGGATGTAGTGTTTTTCTGAAGGTTTTGTTGTTCCTTTACCCTCAAAAACTTGGGTCGACCTATAAACGAGGAATATCATAAATTAACGATTTCTTGGTCAAAAAATCGGGGTCGACCTATATACGAAGGGGGGTTATAGACGAGTATATACGGTACATTAAATCAAAATGCCACCTTTGAGTGTATGATCACAGGAATGTTAACAAGAGTACTGTTAAAAAAAATTAAAAAAATGTTGGTCTGTTATACTTTTGTACTGCCCGAGTCACTAGTTCTGAATGACAAAACATTTTTTTGGAATATATGGTGACAATACAATACTGCAATTACACTTCAGCAAAAAACTGCAATTTAAGACCCCTGAATATAGTTGCCCACAAATTCTCATACTGTACTATACCTTTGTTCCAAATATATATAAGTACATGTACTGTATATAGCTAAGACTTACCTCTCCTCCAACCTCCTCCTGATGTCGCCTAACTCCAGAGGTCGGATGTCTATGTCATCCGAGGACTCACTCATTGTTCGCTCAAACAAAACCATCTTGACAGTTAAGCTGGAATGAAAATATGTAGGTGACAAGAACATAACTAATACAAGTCATGAATGCATGAGACAGGTGTATACCTTAATAAAGTCATGGATAACTACTCAGTTTTTAGTTGAACTTTCTATAAGGGTTAAAACAAATATATTTATAAAAGATGAGATTATGTGTACATCTAATAGAGTAAAGTTTTATATGAAAAACAACAAAAGAGATTAAGTCAAGCTTAAAAGTTTTCTATTACTATGCTCAAAGCAAAATCAAGTTAATAACAAGTACAGTACTGCACAGATTGTCTTTATTTATTGTAAATTAACATATATATCACAGTTTAAATTAATGAAATTCCATTATTCTGACCAAGATGTCAGGTTTGGTATCTGGGAAGGCAACGAAATTGAATTCAAAGAAATTAAATAAGAAAACCTAATTGAACAAGAAACGAGATAAAGCAAAATAACCTAACCAAATTATTTTATATTTCAGGTTATATAACCTTTTTCATTCAACTTAACACCAAGAAGAAGAACATCAAAATGAACCTTAGATACCTGATGTGAATCCACCAATCCAAAAATTGCTCATATCTCCGTAAATATCAATTTTCACAAGAATTACCACAGAAGAAAATCTATTCAAAATTACATTCTGCACAAGAAGAACCTTTTGCCATTCTTAAGTCTGGCTCATGTGCAAAAATGAATTAGAGTATGAACCTCAAATTTGATGTAAGGTACAGTATACAGGTAGCTATCGTGATCCTAACCAAAGGGCTATTTTAGGTACATTTGTAGTTTCAGCCCCAATTACTGTTTGACCATAAATTTTTGTTTTTCCCATGATATTTGGTCTGATTCATACGAATTTGGGCAATTATTGCTGACTGACCGGCCGCCGATTAAGCACAGTAAACAATTATAAAAACGCCAATTTCGCAGTTTATGCAATTTTTTTTACCCAACCCAACTCCTTAACATAAAACTGCCACATTACCACCAAGAAGACAAAGTAGTGTGCACCTTAGGTGCCAAAATATCTTCCAAACAAAGCATTTGCACAGAAATGATTATCATATCAGTACTCACTGATGAAAATAGAATAAGAAAATAAACACCAAAACAAATAACTTGTCGGCAAATCAGTTGTCAATATTAACCCGAATTTTACCTCCATTTCTGTTGGAAGACGTTTTGGAGTTATCACCCCTCCTCCCATAGAACCTGACTTCACCAACTAAAGAAACAGTATAACTGCAGTTTCAGACAATACACAGCTGGCAGTTCTAACCAGCCCCAACCTTTAGATCTCCTTATTTGGAGTACAGCTACTCCCCAACTTACGACCTACTCGACCTACGACCACCCGCACTTACGACCTGCCTCAGTCGGTACAACCACCAGCACATACGACCCCGCAGTCGGTACCAAAATTTTTTTTTCAAACGACATGCGTCTTTTCTAGACCGAAACGTTTCCGTCCTGTACCAGAGCGTCGTGTGGCTTGGGTCGCCGCGTGGGTACAGCACCCACACCGTAGAGCGCTTAGTTGGTGTTTGGCTGTCGTTGTATCCGCAACTGATCGCGCTGTGTACTGACATTATTTTCGTAACTAATTCACTTTAGTGACTGGAAAGCGTAGAAGTGAGAGTGCTGGTGGTGCTCAGGAGAAAAGGAGACAGTCAATTACTTTTGAGACGAAAATGAAGATAATAATGCAGTATGAAAATGGAAAAACTGTAGCAAACATTTCACGCGACCTAGGCTTCTTGCACTCGACCATATCTACTATTTTGAAGGACTAGAAACGTATTCGTGAGGTAGTGAAAGGATCAGCACCTATAAAGGGAACTATAATAACGAAGAAAAGACAAGGGCCCATTCATGAGATGGAAAAATTACTTGTGATATGGATGGAAGATCAGATACAAAAGCATGTACTCTTTAGCCTTCTAACCCTACAGGCTAAGGCAATTAGCCTTTTCGAAAGCCTGAAGGAGCAGGCAGGAGATGAGTGCGAGCAAACCTTCAGAGCAAGTCATGGGTGGTTGAACAGATTTAAGAACTGCCAGTTTACATAATGTAAAGGTGAGTAGAGAGGCAGCTAGTGCTGATGTTGGTGCTGTTGAAGCTTTTAAGGAGGAGCTAGATTGTGTTATCGTGGAGGGAAATTATTTACCTGAGCAAATATTCAATGTGGATGAAACTGGATTATTATAGAAGCGCATGTCTGAACAGACATACATCCACAAAGAGGCGAAAACAATGCCAGGTTTCAAGGCATTCAAGGACCGAATTACACTTCAGTTGGGGGGAATGAGGCTGGTTTCAAGATAAAGCCCTTCATGATCTATCATTCAGAGAACCCAAGGGCTTTTAAAAATGTCAGCAAGCACACACTGCTAGTGTTTTATCACAGTAACAAGAAAGCTTGGATGACCCTAGCACTGTTTGAGGATTGGTTCATGACTTGTTTCATTCCTCAACCCAAGAAGTATTGTCTGCAACAAGGGATTGCATTCAAGAGTTTGTTAATTTTTGAAAATGCTCCGGGACACCCACCACACCTGGACGACATGCACCCTGCTGTTAAGGTAGTCTACATTTCACCTAACACTTCCTCTGTCATCTAACCCATGGATCAAGGCGCTATGGCAGCTTTTAAAGCTAATTATTTACGTGCGACCTTCGCTCAGGCTGTTGCTGCTACTGAAGGTGAAAAAACGCTCAGAGAGTTTTGGAAGGACTACAACATTTTGAAATGTATAAAGAACATTAGTGCAGCATGGGATGAGGTTACAGGGCAGTGCATGAATGGAATATGGAAGAAACTCCTAAAAACATATGTGAACAGTTTCAGAGGATCTAATGAAGATGAAGTAATTTCTGAAATTAGTAACAAGATAGTGGAGTAAACAGCTTGAGTTAGAAATTGATAATGAAGATGTTGAACAGTTGGTTGAAAGTGTAGCAGAAGAGCTAAGTAACGAGGATCTTATCAAACTGGAAGCACAGAAAAATGCAGAGGAAGAAGAGTCTAAATGTAGAAGAAGAACCCGCACCCCCAAAAAAATTTTCAGTGAAGCAAATGGCAGAGGCATTTGCCACAATTAATAAGGGGATGCAAATGTTTGATGGAATGGATCAAAATGTTGAGCATTTTGCCAAAGTTGACAGAATGGTCCAAGACGCACTTGCTTGATACAGAAAGATTTATAATGAAAAGAAAAAGCAAACTGTGCATTCTAAATTGGACATCTATTTTAAGAAGCCCCCCATTGCTGTCTCCTCACGCCCCACCAGTGCTGCCTCTTCACTCCCTAAAGATGATCCAATACCTTCAACCAGCAAGTTTCCCCTGTACATAAACCTGTCTGAAGAAAGCAGCATTGATGACCCACCCAGCCCTGTCTCCTCCTCTGCTTCATGCAATTAATATAGTCTCCATGTTTCCTGCAAATAGAAAATTATGGGGGCCCCGTGTGCATTCAGCTGACTACATTAAAGGTAAGTGCACAGTAACACCGTATCCGTTCTTCATTCTTGATTACTTTTACTGTACTGTATTTCATTTTAGATTTTATATGTATTTTTTTTTCCATTTCGACTTACGACCTGGATTTCGGTCCCTAATCCTGTTGTAAGTCGGGGAGTAGCTGTACTGTACTGTATTTATAACCCCATTTCAACCAATCGGAAATGAATTTTAAAGATTTTCCCTACTTTTACAACAGTCCATGGCTGAGATTTACTTAGGCGTCACAAATTTTCATGGTCAACATCAAGTGACAGTACATTAGGTTACCTTTAGATCACTTTGATTTTGTTACCATGGGAATTCATTACTTCCTAAAAATAGAAAATCAGAGCCAACTTTGGTGAATTATACCGCATATCACTTGTTTTGGCTCTACCCCACCCGAAAACCTCAAATTCCCACGTGCCCCCCCCCCAAAATTGTTGGGGGGGGTAAACTTTAACACTAGTAATTTCCGACAGAAATGAAGGTCAAATTCGATTGAATCACATCAAAAAACAATGGAAAAACAAATTGATAAATTACTAGGACATATTGTCAGAAACTGCAATTTTACCAAAGAAACCTACCTAACCTTACCTAGCCGTCCCTGCCATATTAAACTGAAAGTGATTAATATTCGTCCATTGGCTGTCCACAGGCTTCCAATTTTCAATATTACAGACACAAAGGCTATAAAAAACCATGTATACGACTTCATATCATTTATTGCGCAAATCAATATTAACGGAGTATTGTATCTCACAAATTTCTAGGCGTAAATTTCTGGACCTGCCAGGTTGCCAAAGTCACTTCTCTCCTTCCCACCTCCTCCTCTTCGGATTATGTGACTTGACGTGACTGGCCAATCATTTTGAAGCAGCCTTCCACCGTGCAATTTCAAATTTTGAAGGCTCGTGATGGCGTGGAAATTTTTTTACTTTAAAGATAAGACAGAAATTCTTTTGTCTGTAACCATAAGCGTACTAGATCGCCCAGCTGTATCCTCCACCACAGTAGCAGGTAAGCTCCAAAATATGGTTAGGTTAGGTTAGGCTTGGTTTGTTTTATTTTTGGTGTTTTATGAGATACAGTACACTCCATTTCGTCACCAATACCAAATCCATTTAGTTACCAATAATGGTCAGGTGATGAAACAGTCGCAGGTATTAGAGTGACAAATTGCATGTTATTATTTTACATGAATAGAAATTACACGTGTTTACAGACAACTCGAGAATTATTGTTATTATTATACATGAATATTAATTATTTAATACAAAAAACTAATGAAGAAAATTATTAAAACAATGGTAAATAAACAAATACAGAACAAATGAAGGTGATTTCTTCTTCTTCACCACCTTCAGCACGGGTCGCAGTCAGTGTGTCAGGTGATTTCTGTAAACAACGGGCAATTATCAGGAAAACCACTCGATGGAAACGATTGGCATTTAATTAACAGTTTTTTTACTATTTGATCTTTTTGATATGCC